CAAGATCTAAAATCACGACACTAATAAATATTTCACTTACACTTACAGTATCATCATGGCACTACAGACTAATTATTCCGTGCGGACATTAAAGATACAAGTCATTTAAATACGCAAAATAAAATTAACACGCACTGTCATTGCACAATTTCTGCATAATAGTCACCTCATTTAAAAGACGCATCCAATGTTAGAAGGAGGTCTGTTTAACGTGTTTTGTCCACGGCACTCCCAGTATAGAAGTACATGTACTCATTGCTCATGTCAACTTTGTTAATGGAAGTATCATTACGCCATGTAGTGCAACTCTCTAGCACATAAACGGAACAGACCTAGTGACACCTACAAACACAATCTGCTTTAAAAATAAACAATTCGGAGTTCTGCAGCGTAAACAGCGATTATTTACTTCAGAAACATTAACCCTTGTAATGGCTGAGTTGTCTTCTTTGATTTAGCACTGAATGTTCAAATATTATTTAGGCGACTTTAAGCTATAAATGGTTAATATCTAATTGATGCTGATGTGGCTACAAAAAACTTGCACGAGAAAAAAGCAAAAAAAAAAATTAAAAAATTGTGAATATAAGAAATGTTTAAGAAAAAGAAAGGTCTTTACCATTCTTTTAAATATAAAAATGGTTGACTTCAACATGAACCGAAGAAGAGGTGAATTGTACCAAAATCACTCACAACTGCAATTTTCATAAAAACAAATTTAATTAACGTAAGTTTACGTGTTTGTAAACCGTGGAAGACCATTTGAAGTTGATATACGCTGAACTAAACTAATTAAAGTAAATAAAAGTAAAGCAGGAGATAAAATGGCAGCAAACGTCTGTTCAGATTCAGACGCCCTGGAGCCATGTTTATTAATTTTCTCAACTAGAAAACTGATAAATGCGGACGTAAGATTAATGGCGATCTTACAAACTCAGCTCATGACAAAATACCGACGTGCCTAATGAAGAAACTCCAGTAAGAAGAGGCATTTTTGACAATTAGTAATAATTAATCCGGGCAATAAAGTAAACAACTTTTATGGATACCGTAGATTAATGTCCCTGTTCATAACAGCTCCTCCCACGCACACAC